TTTTCAGACAGCCTTCTCAAAATACTCACGTACAAATGTATGATGCTATTATCCCCAGGATGTCACCGCCCATGAAGAATCCACACCTCATGATGGGCCCTCCCTCATCCACAATGGTTCCTCTCTATGATGTCACCAACAACGATAGACACACACCATAATGACCCAATCCAAAATATACCCCACCCATTATTTCCACGCCCGCAATGATTCAACCCTAAGATGTCAATATTCAATACCCGTAGTATTCGCTTTGTGATTACTCATGAAATATGTAAAAGTATTTTGTATTCGTATGATAGAAACTTGAACACTGTCGTCTATCGTGTATGGATATGGCATGTAACTCTTAACTTAAGGTTAAAGTTTAATTAGTCTGGCCCTCTTGAGTAAAGAGCCGAGACAATTAGATATCCAACGCCGACGGAACGCGATGTCATTAATAATAACTATGCTAGTGACTGTTCAATCAAATTATTACGGCTGTTGTTTGTGTACAATTCTCGTTTCACCATGATTATTTCAAAAATGAACCCACTGATTCAGATAAGATTCAAAACTAATATATCTTATGAATACATAATATGTCACGTGGTCACTCCCAATTATTTCCCAACTTACCTCTACCCGAGAGAATGAATTAAATTCTTGCAAGAATTCTCTATGCTAATGTGGCAGACCAAGAATTTGTGTTCATAGAGGGCGCTATTCGACACCGCAATCACCGTGACAATCGCGGACGCCGGCGGACTTGGGAAATGTACATCAGATACTTGCATATACATATTTTCCAGTATGTTGTTACTGCCTTGCGGCAGCTTTTATATCATTGAGAGGAATGTCCACCTGATTACGCACACAAAATATGTTGCTTGAACGCATACTACTATACATCGCCGATCGAGGAGTTGGTGAACTTGAAAACAGCTAAAATCTAGAAAACAGCACACACTTAACTTTGAGTCAACCTTGAACAACACAATTTATAAATGTTGCACATGTAGTCTTGTTACATTCATGAGACAGACCATGAATGTATGTTTTAAATGCATTAATACACATTATGAACGCGGCACGTGTGTATGCTGCGCATTCTACCCCGCAGGTCAAAACAAGTAAGTTTATGTTCGCTGTCCCCAACAGTTTTTTTTATAAGTGTGTAGCTGAGTCTAAATTCCGTATTATATTCGTCGTATTTGAATTTAGCGTCTACTATTAACGGAATTTGAAAGCCCAAAGTACTTAAAGTTTACATCTAACTCTACGTATGCACGTGATCGCATCTCTGTATGGTTCTAACCATAGACGTTCGTGTTGCAGGTCAAGACAGACTGAGACCACAAGTCCAACAATCCGATTTGGCCCTATTATCGGGGACCAGTGTACCTCTTCTTATATTTCTAATGTGTTTATAACCCTAATTCATACAGGACAGTAGTAAATCGCGTGAATAGTCTGAGGATAGTCTGCGGCGACCAGACACGTTGCGTAAGTTGTACACTTAGGAATAAGACGTACACTCAATAAACGCATGCTATTTTCACGTTCCGTATACACGGCTTCACCATAAATAGTAGCACCAGATAGCACTAACGTAAATATCCATTGTGTCGTCTTTTGTCATACGATGCCTTACTAACCGATTTTGGCTAAAACGGCGCTCCGCCGCCTCTACACACTGGTGTTTATACACGGAACTTGATCATAGTTCTTGCTTTTTAATCACGTATTTTTGCGAAGTATTGTTTAGTGAGTGAAATATATATGCCATACATTATTCAATCTCTGGAGAAGCAGAAACATATAACGATAATAACGATATAAAATTTGTGTTTGAAAGTTCGAAATTTCCCGCGTAATTTCAGTTCTTAACTAGTTTGAAATAGAACGTCCCTGGACGCAATAAGTAAACGCGTATCGAACTGTGCGGAGTTCGCTCATGTCGCGTTGCTTTGCGCTTTACGTACCGCGTATCGAACTGTGCGGAGTTTCGGGCGCATTGTTCCGAATACCAAGGTGACGCAGATGTACATGTGGTTCTACATGGAATATTGGGTGATTGGAACGCCTGGGCACAACGAGCGTCGCAAGGGAAATCATCACATAAACACATTGTAAAACGTGTGTGAAGTCTAACTGTGCTGCGGGTAAACACAGTGAATGGGAGACAGGTAAGTTTGAACGGTGAGGAGATGACGGCAAAATACCGGACATTAAACGTTACGCCACCACGCGATAATGCGAGTCGCCAGTGAGTCGCTTCTAAATCTAAAACTAAATAGACGAATCGTTGCCGTATTTTCATTCATCCATCATTCTGGAACATATTTTGACTAAGACGTGTTTGACCAATTCATAACGCACATCTATCAAGAAACGCTCAAATTGTTGTACAACAATTAGGTTAGACGACGTTTTATATAAGATTTGGACTCCACGCAAGTTTACTTTTGATTGCCATGATAAAAACACACCGCCTCATCTCTTCTCGAAGTGAAGTTTCAACGATTACTGTTACTTTGAACTCATTCAAAAATACATTGGAATATTGATTACCTTTTTGCATTAATTGTCATCAACTTGTTTTATCTCGATTTTGTTTGTTTCAGTCAAAACAGTAATTTAAAAATGCAGGATGATAATTACGGTAATATTTTTGACCTCCCGGAAGAAGTCCTTCTTCACATTATAAACTTTATTTCGCCGATCTCGGAAGACTTCATCAATTTGAAGTTGACTAGTCGTTTATTCCACCGGTTAACAGAAGACAACACACTGTATATTCTGAGGTGTCTGCGATTGAAGCCAACAAGTCACGTACCGGGAATCGTATTGCAGAGAGTGTTGACAAGCTCTTATATGCTAAACTATGTGGATTTCACCGATTGCGATTACGTCACGGACGCGTTTATAGGTCACCTCCTTTCCACGTGTCCAACTGTGATGGCGCTCTACTTAGCGGGCTGTGTTCGGTTATCAAATGAGTCAGTTCGGACTATTACTGATATGCCATTCAAAGTAAAGGAGTTGGACTTGTCTAGATGTCCACTTATAACATGTACTAGTATGATCCAATTTGCTAAACGACACGGCGACACATTGAGACTACTTGCACTTGGCCAGTGTTTCGGTCTTCGGAAAGATCCCTACAAGTTCGGACACATTGCTCACTACGTACCAAACCTTGAACGCATATACCTTGGATGGAAACCAGAGAATCATCGTCTGAATCCTTTACTTGATATGGATTTACAGAGGTTCTTGAACTCGTGTCAAAATTTAAAATACATTGACGTTAGTAACAGTCAGATATCGAGTTATAGTATGCAGGTACTAGCAAACAGGTGCCATGAAGTGCGCCATCTTAATGTAAGTCGATGCTACGTACAGGACAATGGAATTGAAAGTTTAGCCAAAGGGTTACCACGATTGACCTTTCTGGATATATCAGACTGTATCTACATAACGGACATCAGCTTGGAACATCTATCGAATGGCTGCCCTCAACTGCAGCATCTGAACGTGAGCCGCTGTTATGACGTCACTGACTCGGGGTTGCTATCTCTACAAGCCCGTTGTCACAAACTACGTAGTTTAAGTCTTCGCCATTGTTTTAACGTCACAGACCGAGGTGTGGAGCGTATCACTACATGCTGTGCCGATTTGGAATTTCTGGATATCGCCGACAGTGTCGCCATAACGAATGAAACGGTGGAAAGGATAGTAATGTGCGGGAATAGTACGTTTGGGATTTGTGTCGATAGATGTCCTCTGATCACAGCGCCAGTACGACAGCGATGCGATGCATCACCCAAGCAACCCAGAGCTGAAAAATGTTTGACATTGTTCGATATTTTGAGTCCCGGTGAAACATTAGTTTAATTTTTTTTTCAAGGCGTGATATTATATGTGAATGTTTTATTTTATGTGATGACGTCACACGACGTCTCAAATCGCTGCTGAAAACAAATATTTGTGGTTGATAAATCATGATTGGCGATCTACAAAGACAGTGGCATTAATTCTCACCAACGAACTCACGTACTTTGCGAGAGTTCGGTGATATGTATAAAGTCTTATAAATTCCAGTAGCAATAATTGTATTGTTGTCAAATAACATCCGAACTTGTTATAGCAATAATATAAATCATGTTGAAATACCGAATGAAACAACATCATATACAAATTTAAATTTATTGTAAATATTTGAATATGACTAAACATTTTATATTATTTATTTACGTTTAAATCATCACATCATAGTGTCACAATTCTGGATTAAAATAATTATTCAAAATATGTCTACCATTGATGTATTCGAAAGGCGACCAATGATGCTCTGGTCGGATGCTATATTATTTGTGGTAATTAAATGCTTTGGAGTGCGATTGAAATACCATGTTCGAAGGATATCGATCAAAACCTGCCTCAGCCTGATTAACTGAAAAGTTGATTTTGACGTTTTCTCGATACAAAATTAGTCGCCTGTCAGTCAATGGTCAACGAAATGAACAAAAAAAAAACAAATCTAAAAATAAACATAGTTAAACTACACATGGCTTGCCCTGTATATGTAAGGTCAGGAAAGACCATAGCATACAGTGACGAAGGCCATCCATGCATACAGATTAATCATATACATTTACTGGAGATTAATCACCTACATTTAAAGAAACAATTCAAAGAAATTCAAAAGCAGATGTAAAACAGATGTAAAACAGTGTGCAATCATGTACAGTGACACAGAAACAAAAGTGCTGAAGTTACC